ACAGAGGGCATCAACAGTACGTAGGGATGGATTGTGGGGAATATTACTGATTATAAAAGGAAAACCATCAGAGTTTCTTGTGATTAAATCAACAACATATTTGAGAAACTAAATCAAACTAAATCAGTGCAGTAACAGACTGTGTAATCAATATTTTTATTGGTACTTTTTCTATGGAAATTGGTTTTCACTGGTGACTAGGTAGTGACTGAGAAGCATCAGCTTTAACGTTGCGTTTCCTTCAGGTGTGGTAAAAGGAGATCCATTCAAGATCTTTCCGGAAGAACCCCCCAATCCCACCAATGTGGAGGAAACGCTGGAAAGAATCATCAACAACGACAGCAGCCTGGTCGAGGTCAACCTTAACAACATCAAGGTCTGTCCACTTCAGAGATTCTTCAACTTTTTTGCTCTTTATTTTCAACCCCCAAAACTATTGTCCTGACGGTCCCGTTGTTACTAATAACCTCAAATATTTGCCATTCCAACGAACCTGCTGCAGGACATTCCCATCCCGACGTTGAAAGAGGTGTTTGAGGCGATGAAGGAAAACTCTTGCGTGGAATATCTGAGCATCGCTGCCACCCGTAGCAACGACCCCGTGGCCTATGTGAGTTGACTGTTCCTGTTTACTCAGATCCTTGAGCAGCTGTTTTCTGTAACGGTGGTCAATGATTCTGTTTGAATCAAGTCACTGAAAAAAAAGGGAGTACAGCCTCAGTCAGATCTTGTTGTTGATAAGAGACTTTAACAAAAACACAGGGCAGATGACCGAGAAGGCACTTTACTTAACAGTCCCTGAAAACTGCCTCCACTGCAAAGGAACCTGAAAATCTGGAAACAGAAATTATTATAATATTATTATTGATTGTGTGGACATTGTGCTGTTTGTCTAAAAGAGTGTAATCATTTTGTTTATGTGTTTTAAGGCCTGTGCAGAGATGCTGCAGGAGAACACCAGCTTGCTGAGTCTTAATATTGAGTCCAACTTCATCACTGCAGATGGGATGATGGCAATCATCAAAGCAATGGCCAACAATGCCACACTGATGGAGCTAAAGATCGACAACCAGGTCTGGTATCAAACCTCTTTACACTTCCTGTAGTGCGTTTTAGGCCAATTCTGTTTTTACACCTAAAAGTTTGGAATTCTGGTAGGTTTGTAAGTTTGACACATGGACACATGGAAGCCCAATAAAGAATGACAAGCACTACCCACAATTTTCTCCAACAAGTGAAGTTAAACTCTATTAAAAAGAAGATACCTAATTTTCAAAAGTCACTCTTTGTTCTTGTTGTTTTAGAGACAAAAGCTTGGAGATTCAGTTGAGATGGAGATTGCCTCCATGTTGGAGAACAACTCCAGCATCCTCAGGTTTGGTTACCACTTCACCCAGCAGGGTCCCCGTGCCAGAGCTGCTATTGCAATCACACGAAACAATGACATGCGTGAGAAACTTTTCATAAAGTCCTTTAAAATCAGCCTTTTTTCCCCACAAAGCTTACAACAAATAAAACTTGGCTTAACGTGTTTTTCAGTTCGCCAGCAGAGATTAAGATGAAAACGTCATGGAGCACACACCAGAGCCTCAAAGACCGTCACGAATTTCTGGCCTCACCATGTCGTCAGCTTTCTCTTCATGAAGCACTTCAGCTAAATGCAGCGAGTCACTGGGCATCTCCTAACACATTAACACCAAATGTCCATTGGAAACCATTTCATTTCACTTTAATCAGCCAGCTTTTTGTAGACTCCCGATGTCATAAACTCATAAAAATGTGTGTAGGACACGAGCAACTTGTGAGGTGTCTTTTTTTTTTTAGCGCATTTAGCTTTTGTGTGTTGCCAACTTCATCCCACACCCAAACGTTTACTTATTTTCAATGTGGTGCTAACCAAGGGAAGAATACAAACTGTAAATAATTTAAATAAAAAAAATATATATTAAAGTATTTGTTATCAGTGTTTGGAAACTTCACTTCTGTTTTATTTTTGTTTGTTTATTTCCTGACTTTAAACAAATTATGTTGCGCCGGTAAGTAATTGTTGACTCCATTAAGTGGCAACCATTTAAAAAATGTGTACGTCAAGTCAAACAATTTGTTCTATGTTTTTACAGTTTCCCAGTTCAAATTTTCTTTAGCATTGCTATTTATGCCTACAGATTATTCATTTACCCTGGAACAATGAGAAAAAAGCAAAACTGATTCTAAATTTAGTAAAAATTACCCAGACATCAATTCAAAAAGTTTAAAATACCTCAAATGAAACAGTGCTCGTAAATAGCTAAGCTAGCCAAAATGCGGTAGCTTTTATTGTTATAGAAAAGTGGCTCTTAAAACAGATTATATAAGGCCCTCTAGTGGTTCATCTACGTGTGACTGCCTTGATTAAATGTTAACTGACAATGTCTCTTTTTGGATGATAAATATGCTGCAGTAAAAGTTTACAAGCTAATAACCGCTATTCTACTGATGCTATGATGATAAAAGTGATGAGCCTGTTTGACGTGAACTGCATTATTATAGACATGAACTCCTCTTGTACGCTTCCGTAGCACTTTAATCCCTTAAAGTCTTTTCTGATCCTCTGATTTCCAACAAGCACCTGAGTTATTTTTAACCCCCAAGCCTGATGGGAAATGTAACCAAGTCCGTTGGGCTAAAGTTTCCTGGTTCCAAATATAAGCCCCAACTTTAGGAGGGTTGCACCCATGTGCAGCAGCAGAGTTTTATGAGCAGAGACAGCTGTTAACCTCTGAGGATTTTCACAGCATTGCTGAGGTTACTGCTCTAGTTTGCTAATTTTTATCTTCTAGCCGAAACTTGATCAAAGATGAATTTGACAGTGCTTTGGAATGCATGAATGCAAAATGATTTAAGATTGTTTTTGGTAAATTTACAACTTTATTCATGCTTGAATGCTGACTGACATTTGGTTACTTGGAATGTTTTGATTTGGTTAGTGAGTTTTTAGTGAGCTTCAAACTGACATGATGTCCCAGATCTCCCTTACTTTTGCTTTGATGAACTAACATCAGTTTTTCTGCCCAGCTCCTGTTCTCACCTTGATATATGCTTGTGCTACAAAAAAAAAATTCCATAACCAGTGGCTTCTTAATCAGATTAGTGCTAATACTAGCAGTTTAGCTTTTCTTGGCATTACATTGTCAATCAACTCTCTTGCTGTTGTTATTTTATCTCAGAGCATAAAACTAAACTGTTATATTTAAATATTCTATTACTTCCTTAGTCTTTTTTAATTGCTCAAATAAAGAATAATTCAAGATGTCAGATAGAGTTGGCATTTAGGGTCTTTGCAGTTAGCATGTCCTGACTTTTGACCATGGCTTCATTGCTTGCCTAATAATAATAATAATCAGAGTAAAGACCCTCTCTCTAGTTTAAACCTACGGTTCATGATGGTGTGTTGCTACAATTACTTGCATTTATTGTCTTACTACATTAAACCCTTTCCTTCGTTCAGCTTTGTTGTCACCTTCTTTAAGTCCTTGAATCTTCTATGAAGGGTCTTAAATGTTACCTTCTGCTGTTTTCTCTTTTGTTAATCAACCCAAGTCCTGGTGCATTTACCGCTGTCTCTGCTGTTTACAGCTACCTAGCTTCACAAGAATGCAGCCTACTTTTCTTTGCAGCTACTGCAATCCTGTTATTTCTTTGTTGTGATGATCTATTTTACATCTTCTATAATCAAATCCCCTTGTCTTCATCCCTCCATTTGCAAATAGAAATACTTCCTCTTATCATCTAGGACTAGGATAGTTTTTTTTAAAATATCAGTACAGCATTTAAAACATTTTCAAAAAGGTTTCTATAGTTGATCAAGCTGTGCTTTGCGCGCCCTCTGGTGGATTACACAACAACTTCCCCAGTCTATGAAGTTGTTACAGACATTTACAATTTTCTTCTGTTTTAAATCACATTGTGCTCACGTGTAAAATGGAATTACAAAATTAAACAAAAATGCAAAAATATGTCGCAAATGTATTGGCCTGATACAACATATAGGAGAAGAAGAAGCATCACAAGATGCAGCTGATGATAACTGGTGTGATTCCTCTTCAATGAGAAGACACACAACAAAAGAAGGCCTTGTTATTCAGAGTAATGCTCTTGGTGCTGGTTGAAAACCCGTGAGATTGATTTCATGGTTGTTCTATGCAACCATATTGTTCGATTATACCACTGTGGTATGAGTAAATCTGTGTTTCTCACAGTTTTTAGTCATGCCATAGACCTATGATAGTCATGTGAGTGCAGGAGGTTCCTCCTCATCTGAATCAAACTCCACATTCTCATCTTTAATCCACTGACCGCTGCGGTCCTGTATCCATCCATCACTGCAAGACAAAAAAGGATAAAATATTAGAGGGACTCACTAAGCAGTGACTGCTGCTTTTTGGTTATTTAATCTCACTGAATACATTTTAGATGTTAATAATAATGTTACAGCAATGTCATGACCAAAATATACCTTTTTAGTTTGAGGTAATGCTCCAGCTCTCTCCTCCTAATGGCTGTCATAGGCTTTGCCTCTGGTGGGACTACAAGCTGAGATCCTTTAGCGTCTTCCGATAGATCAAACTCTTTATTGGCTAAAGAACGGGAAAAAAAACTGTATTACCATGCTTAAGAACAACCAGACTTCCAAATGGTAAAAATCATTTTTGACATCACAGTAATGAATGTACCTTTTGTTAGACTAGTGGAGGTGCTTGGTACGGTGCTCAACAAAACTTTACTTTCTGCACTTTTGTCTACGTCCTCCGACGGTGTTTTGTGGTAACTGATGCAGCTGTTACTGGAAGTGTTGCTTGATGAAGCTTTCTCAGATTTGGTACTAAAAATATACATAATTGTGTTTACAGAAATGGTTCACAACTCACAAAGATGACAAGTTCTCATAACTTGTACCTGGTTTTCTGATGGCAGCTGTTGTATGGTACAGTCTTCAACAAGGCATGATGTGTGAGCTTCCGGGTTTGTTCCAGTAATGGTGCTGAGCTGGAGGGTTCCTGAAATCACAGAGGGATAACTGTGAATTTTAGAACTTTCTTAAAATCTGTTAATAGTCAATAGTTGGTTTCCGTTTTAACAACAGACAACAACGGTAAATGGTATGACACGATGTCATTTATTAGAGTCATATGATAGTCACAGGCCTGGAACACAATGTCTCAACAGAGACAATGATATAAGACTGAAAGTCTCAAGACAGACAAATAATAGCTGCAGTCAATTACCTCTGGTTGTTGCCAAAGAAAAAGCAACCTAATGTATCAGGAGATTTTGGAATGTTTGTTTTGGTCAAGGGATCCAGTCCTAATGTTCTGGATAATTTGTTTACCAACCTGTTTCCTGTCTTCAGCCTGGATGTAGTTTTCATGTTTCCTCTTGGTTATTTCATTTTTCAACTGTGTTTTTCTTCCATAGTGAGATTTCAATCCTAAAACAAAAAACAAATAGAGAAATGAGCATTACCAAGAGAGGTCAACCCTAAATCACCTACAATTCACTATTTAGACATAAAATACACCTTGTAATGGCCTACCTTCTAGATGCCGTTTGCCCTTTCTGTGCACTGTCAGCATGTCAACCGTATCAAACACGGGACGATAGGAGCACACGAGGCAAGTGTATCTAAGTAAATTCAAAAACAGGTCTCGTCAGTGTGCGTGCGTATTTAGAAATTTAAGTTTATGCCATCTTATCGTCTTTTAGTTTGAAATTTACCTTCCATTTTTCAATAAAGCGGCTTCATCTTCTGGAATAAAATTCGACAGAAGATCCGCCACACGTCGTTTCTAAAATACAATATTAAAACACGATAAACACGAAAAAGTGTTTAAACATTGCGTCTGCAGCAGAAACTGCACTTCGGCAGTGTAGCTAGAGTAGTTAGCAACATAGCATGCATCTCATTCACTCAAACGTATTCTAGTTTAGCTATAAAGCAAAGAAATATACAAAGTAGATGAATCCATACCTTCAGTATGTTCAACTGACTCTTGTCGTCGCCTTCCCTTTTAAACGACATGTTTAAACGTGTACTTTCCTTAAAGGTAAATGCAAATTCGACAGCTATCAAGCTACACAACGCACTCCTTCCTGTTGATAGTAACGCTACATTTACGATCTCACTAGACAATCCGGGATAATAGGTTAAAGAATACAACTGTTGTATGTCTTTCTTTGGCGTTGGAAAATGTTGTCACATTTAATTCTCTAAATAATAAAATATGGAAGAAATCATATGCCAACGTTGTGAAACAAATATATTTGTTTAAGCCGTAGAAAGTAGCATTAAACATGGTTGTGAAAAGCTTGACTCTTTGTAACAACAATAATATCCAATAGTTTTGAATGCATCGCTTGAACGTACGGCAGGAGGAGGCGGACACAAATGAAGACAGTTGACATATATCAACAACTCTTTCCGTCATATTTAAGGCAATTTTGTGACATGAAACTGGACGTCAAACATTAAGCTACGTAAGTAGTAAAGTTAGGTCACTAAACTGTTAAGTTAATCAAGCGGAAGATCGTTAGCAAAAGAAAGGTATTTTCTCCTGCCGAAAGAAGCCGAATATCCTCGTAAATGAAGTTAATAATTAAGCTAAGTGGCTAACTAAGCTGCTAGTTAGAGAAACATGACGGTTTCTTCTGTCAACACACCAGTCTATGACCGTTACATGACCGTTTTAGGTTTGTTGTAAAAGTTGTTTGGATTTGGGGACCATGTCTACGGGACCTGTGGACGGGAATGGTCTGCTACGGGGAAGTTGCACACGGTCTTACGGTAGTTTGGTCCGTACTTCAGCCTCTCCCGTTCAGCAGAGGCGCATTGAACACAGACTTGAGCCGGGTGAAACTCTACAAGGTCTGGCTCTCAGGTACGGAGTCTCGGTAAGTACGAACTAGTTTACTTTATTTGCACTGAAATGTTACTAAGTTATACACATTAAAAAACACAACATGAGTCCTATATCTATTCATATTTCTCTTCTCCTCGCATGTGATTGTGATTGACAGTGTTGCCAGCGGTGTTGTCGGTGCTGAAGATAAGCAAACTCAAAATGTTAACAGATTAACATTTTAGAGTTTGCTTATCTTCAGGTCTTAAAATAGACCTTTGTTTTCTAACCATTAGACTGTGTAATTATTTGTTTATTCATCTTACACTTGAGGCTATTGATGTTAATGCTATTGAGCTTGATGTTATGATTTGTTTCATTTTAGCAAATCAAGAGTTTATGATACATTTAGGTAAGTGTAATGTGTTGCATTATTGATGAGTGGCACAGTTGATTTATCAAAACCTTCAAAGGAATTTCCAATCGAAATTTTATTCTGTTTTCTTTTTAAAAAAGGTGTTAGGTGAACACATAGTGTTGGAAAAAGGGGGTGATGTGACTGCATCAGTATCATAAAGAAGAACCCGTAGAAAACATACATAAAGAAGTATTAATAGTGGTATTTGGTGTCAAAAATAAAAATACTCGTACTTGTATTGTATGTTATGTAATGTATGTTAAAAAAATGCTATCTGGACAACTCAAGTGTGGGAATGAAATTAACTCAAAATAAAAGCTAACATAATAAATCTCTTCCAGATGGAACAGATAAAAAGAGCCAACAGGCTTTATACCAATGACTCTATATTTCTGAAGAAGTCCTTGTCAATCCCTGTGCTTTCGGACTTGGATGGATGCGGTGTTGGGATGGATTTGGCTCAGGAGGACAGCCCAGGAGAGTATGTTGGCCAAGCTCCTGCTCAATATGGACGCATGAGGATCTCCTCTGAGAAAAGGCTTGACAATAGTGAGGATGGTGTTGCAGAACTTACCCCAGAGAGGTTTTTGAAAAGGCTGGATGAGTTGATAAACCATTCCAAGCAGGCTGCTGTAAAAGGATGCCAGGAAGCAGAGCAAAGGTAGGTGTGCTGAGCTACTATTGCTAGCTTGTTTACACTGTATTTTTTTGACCCACAATTTCTTGGTTGTGTCTCTGAGTGTATTGCTGTGCGATATTTATTTGTCAGTAGTGCTCTGTCTATTTCTGCCCTGTGTTTCAGTTCTGCCAGTTGCCTTTTCACCCTTTTTTGTACACTAATACATTTCTGTTTTGTTCTACGTAAATGCTCTCCTGCTGTTTCCAACAGTTTGTACTAAAACAATCTTTCAGCAGTTCTTCTTAGTGTTCCTTTTCACATTCAAACAATCCAAAGCCTGTTTTTCATCTATTCTAATTTTGTTGGTCACACTTGTGCATTTCTCTGACACTTTGGGATAACATGATTTGTCCAAAAGCTCTTGCAGAACTTAAAAGCTTCATTTTCATTGAACACCAATGGACAAAGTCATAATCCAGGAATACTTGTATACTGGATTATTTAGAAATAGTAAAACTGAATTTTATTCCTAAATTTGAAAATATGATCTACTAAGTTTAGTTCTCATTTGCTCTGTAAATAAAACAGCCCTTGCTAAGATTTCATCCAGTTTACATCATAGTAATTATCCCTAAACTGCTAACCAGACTTATTCCAGATCTGTGACATCTGTTTATATCTTTACAGGGTTGCCGCCCTAGAAGCAGCATGCAACAGTGCATCACCAGATCGGCCTTTCACCAGGTCACGGAGCATCACATCTGTCTCTGTAAAGCATCAGCAGAGACAGGAGGATGGGTCATACGTCATGGTCCCTCGTACCATCACCAAACTCACCAAGAAACTGAGAGACAGGGAAGATGAGATCTTTGAGCTGTGACATTTTCCCTAAGGTTTTCCCTTTGTGAATCAAGGATATGTTTTCAGTGTGTTATAGTTTTTTGATAATACAGTTTAAATCAGAAATTTGATTTCTCATTAGTACCTGCTACTGTTACAGCTAAAAGCACAACATTCATTTTCTAATGCAGGTAAATAGACCTTGTGTAGCTTTATTTATTTGTAAATAATGAAAATCTAGGTTTTGTTTCCTCACAGGCAAGCAATTTAGGCTGTAAAAAATGTGACTTTGTAGGAAATGTGACTTTACAGTCACATTGCTGAAATGTAGGAAATGTGACTTTACAGTCACATGTTTGGTCATGTGACTGTTTGGACTAAGCACATGGTTGTTTGAAATGCTACCTCAGAGGCTGCTACTGCATACAGTTCTTATTCATGGGATTCTAATCTAAGCCTTACCATGTTATGGTATGTGAATACGGTACAGTTTGTGAGGTTTACTGTAATACATATGAGCGCCAACAATGGGGAATAATCAGATTTTCCACTTATACTACTGAAGAATTGTCAAATCAACATAGCATCAGGTAAATAAAAGACATTTTGGGGACTTCATTTTCAAAGCATGTTTTTATTATTTGTAACAGGGCTGTTGTATAACTCTTAACTTTTTAATGAGAGTTTAAATAGGGGTGTCCTGCTCAACTTTTATACCTATTACTAGTCTTCAGAATTCCAGCTGCGGTGATACTAACACTCATTCTGATAGTCAGCTGAAAGCAGCTCCTCTTGTCCAAAGTTATGCTTTGGCACTGTAACTTCTTCCTATAGCCCTTCATCTGAACTCAACAAGGTTCAGATGACAAGGAAGGCTCTTATTCTCCAGTGACAAGAAGCAGAAGATTTGCTGACTCCCAAATGCAGTAGGAAATGCAAAGATTTTCTTAGCTTTGAAACATAACATTCTTAAGGTTCAGGACACCCCTACTTTGAATCCTATATTTAGCCTCGTGGTTCTGATTAAGTTGCAAAAGCTACATTAAAACAGCTGCTCCAAAAGCTGATGTCACAGACACAGATAAAATATTTTGTATTTTAACACTTTTTTAGTTTCATGTCACATGAAATGACTTGCAGTGTCCACGTAGGACTCCACTTTCCCATGCCTGTGGAAATTCAGTGTCATTATGATAGAAACATAAGAATAATACGTCTTAGTCTTGGCTAGTGGCCATGGTACACTTTGCAGAACAACATGTATTATTGGATTAACATTCAAGCTTGTGCAGTCAACATTGTTCGGGAGTGGTGATGTTGTGTTTAATAGTGGGAGTAATTATCCGCTGCAGGGTTATTTATAACCCGCACGCCTCAGTAAACACGACTCTGCACATTTCAGTTGCAGGTGCACAATCTTCACCACCCGGTGGCAGTGCTGTACTGCACTGTTCACTTGTTTGTTTTCTGACTTCACGCAATGCTCCAGCGGTTTTTCTTCCTCCCTTCTTCTCTCCCTCCCTCATCTTCGCGGTTCATGACATCAGTAGTAGTGAGGGATGAGACTTTTGCAGGTTTCTAAGATTAAACATTCTGTGACATTTCAGCTGAACATCAACTTTTAGATTCAAGTTTTTTTTTTACTTTTTCTTTCTCTGGATAAGTACACAGTATATCACCTATAAACTATAAAAATAACTCAAGGAATGACTCAACTGTCTTTGTTTAAATCCCACGTTCTTGGAGAACAGTGGGGCAGCAGTTCTGTTCATGAATCACCTGTCCTACTTTGCCAGTCTCCAGCAGCAGTAAGACTTTTTAATTTTTATCCAACAGTTCAGAGTCTCAGCTGAGTCTGCCTGTAGATCTCCCAGTGTCTGACTGTCATGCTGTCGCTCTTCCTCTGTCATATTGTTCCGTCCTCCACCATTTTGTTAAGTCCTTTGTAGATCCTGGTTAGGTTGGGTCTGAAAGGGCCGTTGGGGTCGTACAGCTTGGTCAGGAGCTCCGGATCTGAGTAATGGTTAAAGACGTGGTTGATGCGACCGTGGGATTTGGTTGTCAGGTGGGTGTTGACCAGTTTTAGCAGCAGATCTCTGCAGCTTGTCAGAAGTTCCGACATGACTGTCTTATCAAAGGTGAAGTCCACCTGCAGAGTGAGAAACACACCAGGTATTTTACGTGCATAAACACTGTATCGTCAATGCAATGGGACACATTGTTTTGAAGACCACACCCCACCTCTTGTGTCTTCTGGTCCTTTACTAATGTATGTAATACAAATAATGTAATAGTTTCAGCAACATTTGTAATATTTTTTAGACCATTTAGAAATTAGCAAGCCTTTAACTTTGAAAGCATATTTCACGACCATTGCTCGATACATTTTTATATGCACTTTATGCTTCAAATTCTATGTTTCTAGCAATTTTCCGCAAGTGCTCTGTCTGTAATACTCGAGCATCACTGTTTTTGCAAAAAAAAACATATTGTGGGGGCTCGTCCTTCAAAGCTGCACTATCCAACAAATCCAACATTTTATTCATGAAGTCACTAGTGAACAATCTTCCACGTCATGTTGTAGGGTGGGCTGCCTTACAAATAGTCTGACCTCAGTGAGGTCGGCCAACTGGTGAAGTTCTTTATCTTGAATTGGTGGTATTGTGCAACACTGGAAATGTGTATCATCATTAACAGCCCTGAGTTTGAAAGAGAGACAGGTCGCTAAACAAACGTTCCAGATCAGTAAATGCTGTTGGACTTTACAGCTGTTTAAACAATTTCACTGACTGCTGCTTCATCTCTAACAAAATTCACTGACTGCTGCTTCATCTCTAACAGTTCCATAGAAACTTAATGTAGCAGCCTATACATTAGCCATTGCCCTTTCCCGTTGCTCATGCATCCCTGAAGATTCACTGTGAAAACAAACCTCATAGAAGCTGATAGCAGTCATTGCACCCATGTGCAACTTTTTTTTGAAGTCGTGAGCCACTGCCAGCTCCTCAGAGGAAAAGCGGTTGTTCTTGAACAACACACCGATCTTCACTGCGATCTTGATTAGGTTTTTGATGACTTTTTGCGCCTCCGATTTGTTCCCGCTGTACTCCTTGGAGATGCGGTACAGTTCGTCCAGGATCTCGCTGGTGGTGTCGTCGATGAACATTTGCACAGAGCTTTTGTTGGCCATGGTGCTGAGGATCTTCTTCTGTGCCTTCATGGCCATGTCCTTGGAGCTGAAGGCATCCATGGTTGGCTAAATCATCAGGGGAAGAAAGAGAAACCTTCATTAATGTTGAGGAAGATCTTGACATTTAGCATCTCTTAATTAAATGAACCAAATAACAGGGATGGATTTTATATGTCTGGAAATGTCCTTCATTTTCTTTTATTTAGTTTAACCAACATCTTTTGATATTTGAGTTTTTCAACAATGAATGAGTTATATTTAGTTATGTTTATAACTAGGATAGTTATTTTTTTACTAACAAGGTGCTCAAACACCACCTGAGGCAAAACAGACTCTGTAGTACGTCAACTGCAACGTCTCAGTATGTTTATACTAATTACCAAAGCTAGCTAATCCTAAAGTTGTGTTTATATTTATCCAAACAAAATTTCCACTTTCACTGAATTGAGTTGGATTATGTGATAGTTTGATTACATAAAAAATAGTTGTCATTTAAGTCTATATACTCTGTATACTATATACTGTAAAAAAGTAAAAAGACCGCCCATTCAACTAGAAAAATGTTTCAGGCATTTCACTCCTGGCCAGAGACTCAACAGTCTTTCACTGCCAGACAGTGATTAGCTCCAGTGGAGTAGGTGGAGGTTAAATACTGTGTTCAAGGACAAACCATTTGTTGCTGTGGAGGCAGGGGGACACAACACATGTTCACCTCTCTTATTCAGTTCTTTCTAGATCACTGGGGCAGGAGAGGGGGACTGGCCTCTCTCCCGTCATCAATGCGACTCTCTAACCTTCGTATTCTCATTCATATTTATTCCTGAATCTTGCTCATAAAGACAGATATTTAAACATTGCAGACTTGGTAGATTCATTTCAGCCAGTCTTTGTCGTTGCTACGCGCTTTTGTTCTTCTGTCAGACAGACTTTGACCTTTGTCAGTCAGTTTTTGTGTTGGACAGTCTTTTTCATCTTCCTGTCCATCAGACATCTGTGTTGTTCCGCCTTTGTTACTGATGTAGAAGTCAGACTCAGACTATGCCTTGGTCAGTCGTAAATTGTCGTCCTGACAGTCATTGTCATTTTTTTTTTACATTAGACAGTCTTTTTGGTAGGACCGTCCTTGAGTTAGTCTTTGTGAAAATCTGTTTGTGTTTGTTTGTCATCGTTCCTCATTTTAGTCTTTGTCTTTTCATCGCACAGCCTTTCTAACTGTTTTGTGTGTCTATGCCATATTTGTTCCATTCTATCAGAAAACTCTTGTTGGTCTTTCAGTCAGAGTTTGTCTTTGTTCATTATTCAAACAAAGTCCTTCTGTCAGACAGACTTTTCAGGGTTCAGTTAATCCTGTCTCTTTTTTCTGTAATCAGTTTTTATTTTTTATCATCTCTAATTCAGAACTATAACAATTGTGTCCAAGTCATTCTTATGTTAATCCCTGTTGACATCATGTCCACTGCAGTGTTTGTTTTAGTTTCATGTTGACCAGAGGGAGAAGTAGCATGGATGAGACTCCACAGAGGCTTTTAGTTTCTCAACTGGGATTTTAACCACGTCTACAGTCGTAATTGTCAGACAACTTTATCCCATTGGGAGGTGATCAACCTGCAAACACAAACAACACATTAACACGGTTACAAAATCCTCCGTCTGTCTTTGATCCTCAAAACAGATTTGATGGATTTTGGTTTTAATTCATCTTAAAATGTAACCTAATCTCTGACATGGATGTCGTCTGATTTGAAAGGGATTGAAATGGTTGTGTTCATATTGTAGCAGATTTTCAGAGGTTCTGTTCCAACCAAAACCAAAGGTGTTTTCACAACCTTTAAACTCTCCCCTCATGAAAATATTTAAAACATACTACAAACCTGGTCCGAGTTCCTGTGTGCTCCTGTAAAAACAGGGTTGGAATTTAAAGAACATTTGCTGAACATTGATCAATGCAACTTTCTGCACTGAGTCTCACTTCTTCAGCTTGTGTGAACACGTACAGGAGATACGGGTCGTCTGCATAACTGAGGCAGGTCCGTGCCTGCTGTCTGTAGATTGCATCAGTTATGGGACGCGAACAGAGCATGAGCAACCAGCTTCACTCGGAGACGACCTTAATTACAACCCCTGGGTCTTGAACAACTGCCACTCTGTTAGTGAAACATCATGTGCATTAGGAACCGCACTTTGACTGCAGAGCCGTCAATTCAACCACTGCCTATGTCCGCTGTTGGTGTATGTCTTTCATTTCTGTTCCTTTTCCCAGTAGACAGCATTATTATAATGAGTGTATTCTTATAGTCCGGCTGTAATGATGCACAATCAGCACTGTGAGCTAAAGATAGCACGCTTATAATAGAAAACAAAATCTGAACTTGATGGCATTCATTTTCATATCACACAAATAAGCAGTGCCTGCTGTGAATCAGCCCATCTTTAACACTGACCTCATTCCCAGCAACAACATCCATAATCACCAACCCGTGATTTTTATAAGCTAATCTAAACGTAACTTCTCCTTTAAATTGGCTCTGAACATGAGTGACATCGCTAATTGCTTGCTTTGTTCAGCTTCCCTGTGGGGAGTTAAAGAACATTCATTAATTATCATTATTATTATTATTTCCTTTAACAGTGATAATAGATGTGGAACAGCATGGTAGCTGTTTCACATTAATGCTTCAAACTCATTTATGTGCTAAAAAGCCCACAGTGACTTGAATGGAGTCGTCGTTAGACCAACAGGCGTATATTACAATGTTACTTTTACTGTTTGAGACATTTTGTTGTTCCACATTCTGGCACTGTCACGTAGTTTCATCTGAGGTCTGAACGTCCTATCAGATAATGGCAATAAAGTCCAATTTGATGGAAACAGTTCAGGATGAAATTCTGTTTGCAGTGAATTTCCAGTCCATGTTTCATCACAGGGAACTCTGATCCTATTTTGCCGTTAGACCAAGACAGTGTTGCTAGTTTGTTAGCATCACTGATGAAAATTATGACACTGATTGATCTGGTCACCTTGTTTTTCCTCTGTAGTGTTAAACACTGACTGCTGCTGCTCACTCTCTCTCTGGTACAATGACCTTTGGCTGATTAAGAGCTAATTAGTTGTTTAACTGTTAGCATGGAAGCCACAAAGCAAACATTCTGTACATGACAGGAAAGCATTTAAAGAACTGCTGGTTGGAGTAAAAAGTGGTCCGAGCGTGACTTTGTCTTGATAGCCCTAGTGTACTACTCTACTACATTGTTTGCTTAGTGGCTCTGCGTTGCTTAGTGTTTTTGCTAACTGTGTAATCAGCTTTATTTCAGTGTGTTTTTCAGTCGGTCACATCAAGGACACGGACTAAATGCTAAGCATCAATTTCCTCCCACTTTGTGGTCCTAATGCACGGGGGAGTTACTGCATTAAATGTTAAATTGTCTGTATCCCTCCCAAAAGCCTGTTAGAGAGGGTACCTGTGTGCTCTGTGATATCTAACACCATCAGGGGAACAGAAGTGAACAATAACAGGAGCAGAGTTGGTGCAATTACAGGCGACTGATGGTTTTATATTGTTTCAGAGCAAAGGTAACACAGTAGGTGGTGAGAAACCTTTGAATAGTGCATTAATGGACAGCCTCGAAGAGAGAAAGAGAGAGAGAGAGAGAGAGAGAGAGTGATTAGTGGAGGATCCATCCCAGCAGGCTGCAGACTGCAGAGGTAAATATTTAGCATTCCTGAGATGACTCCAGCTTTAGGCACCAGCGTTTATGTGCATGTATGAACCTGTGTGCACTTTCTGAGAATTTCTTTTTTTGTTGTGGTATGTTTTTGAATATTTACAGAAAAAACTAAACTGGCTTCAAAAACGACAAGAGTTGTACAGGAAGTTAGTTATTTCCAAATTTCCAATTAGTCATTTCCAAATAAGATGAGAAGATCTTATTCCCGATTTGTAGTAAGGTATTATTCATCATGAAGTAGCACCTGGTTCTGTTGATTTTAGCATTGCTCTTGAGCAGAGGTCCTCAACCTGGGTCTGCGCCCCCTAGGTTGTACTGCAGGGGTTTGATCTTTTTTCTGATGATTTTTCCAATTTGTTTAAATAAATTTCTCTGGCCAGCCAGAAACATAACCAAGCATTATTATACTGTATATACACCTGCGTATTATCTGAACACCTTAACAGGGGATTTAATTAAAACTAATGTTTTATACAACACAGAATACATTTTGTAAAGAGTCCCATCGCTGCAGTTTGGCCTGAAAAATACCCGAGATCTGTTAGTTGACCACACACAGACAAAGTTGATAAAGCTTTGCTTTTAGATGAAGTTCTTCCTTAATTTGTTTATATCAGATTATGCAACAGGTTCTTCACAGATGCTATGGTAACCTGATTGCTCTAAGCTCGTCAAATGGATGTCATATGTATGACTTTTTCAATAGTAAGTCTGTGAATATCTGTGTGCGTGGGAGGTGGTGTGTCCAGGGAATATTCTGCCTCATGTTTACAGGGATTGGCTCCACATTTACCAGTGAACCCTCAGCAGAATTAGGCAAACTGAAGTGAACTTGGATTGGTTCTCAGATCTCTGAGATATTGTTCTGGTCTGGATTGGAGTTAAAGTCCAACAGTGATCAGACCAAACAGCAGGGAAAAGAATGTGATGCTTCAGGTTTGAGGGCTGTGGAGCAGTCACTCAAACAGAGCCTTTCTTGCTGTTTTCTGTTATTGATTTGGAGGCAAATAATTGAGACAAAGTCAGCCTCTCACTTCCATCATTACAACTGGGCCACAGGTCAACGTGTGTACATCAAATACTGCATTACAACCTGTTGTATAACCAGCAGTTATCTCACCTCAGAGGCCAGTTGCTTTCTGGATCTAGGTTTATGAGGCCACAGCTGGTTACATATTTAGTATATTTAGTACTACACTCCCTACTCTTTATGACACATCTCACACTGAGGCACATAAGCTCTATGAATCCTTTTCAATGACCTAGGAGGGCACTGTTGAAATCCTTAAAAGACACATGTTGCAGCTTTTCCGTCATTGTTTCACAACTCCCTTGAATGGCCGTTGCTTGAAACCATCTGCAATGTCTACAAAAGGGAAGTGAAACACCCCATAGTTGGTGTCAACAGTCCCAACCACCATGCCACCCTACGACATCTGCACACCTCACAGCCAGTGACATATCACTGGTTTACACACTCTGGCATTTTAGTTCCGGCCTGAAGCGCTCGTGAATTCAAAGTGAGCCAATGAGCTGAGTCCACAGCCTGTGAGTTTGAGTTGAGCAACTCTCAGCTTGTGCAAACAAAGTCTGAGCTCCACATCTGTGCATGTCACTGTACTTGTTCCAGCATGACTGTGAGCACACATCGAGCGAGATGGGGAAGTGAGAGAGTCGACACAATTTGTTCCAATCATCCCACTCAGCTCTTCTGTCTCTTCAGAACACCAACGCTGTCCAAATCCTTGTTTTTCTCTCCCCCGAAAAAGAAAGTAACAAGTTATCTGAGCCCCGGAGACGTGAACAAGGCAGCAGTGTCTTACCTTTTGTGTGTGTGTGTTTTGGTGTGTTTGGCTGGGTCCCCCTCCCTCCTTTTCTGTGTCAAGTATGCCTCCTGCCCTCTGCTCTTGGTCTCAGGTTGACAGCCCAGGATGGTTGGTTTAAGAAGATCCCTCCATCTCCAGCAGAAGCAGAACCAGCAGGCGGAAAAAAAAACAAAAACCCACCGTCCTCCTGCAGCACTTCTGTCACTGCCACACTGTCTTAAGATAATGTTGAGTTGTACTTCCTTGAGGAACTAAATTGCTATGACACACCCCTTAGCCTGTGTGAGTGTGTTTCTCTCTCTCTCCTTTTCTCTCTCTCTCACTCACTCTGTATCTCTCTCTCTATCTCACCTTGTGTTTCCTTTTTTAAATCTCAATTCAAACTTTAAAAAAAAAACTTGTGTATCCCTATTCTGCCCTGCCTAATTTCTCTTCTAGCACGGTCCGCCTCTCTCTCTCTGTTTCTCTCTCTCTCTCACCCTCTTTTCTCTCTATATTGCTGATGTCCTGCCTCTGCTTGTTCTAACAAGTGAAAAACCCCAGAAAGAATTTAACAATAATGCAGTGATGCAGCCAGTTGAAAGGGGAGCGGCTTAAAGCCCCCTTTATGTTGTTTCACCTAGCGCTGGAATGTGGCTCCTGTCAGTGCGGCTGAGCCCTGTGTCACAGGGCGTCATAACAGTGGCCGTGCTGGCGTGTGTCTCGGTCTGAAGCACGTGCTCACACTCAGAGCTCAGTGACTGATCTGAAACCAAAACTCCTCTGCCGCCCAACTGTTTTTATGTCAATTCAGTGAAAATAAGCAACAACCCGATATGTGGAAACACTTTTCCATCTGTCAGAAAGCAAAAAAAAAAAAAAATTGATGTTTAGCCTATAGTCAATTTGGGACAACAGCAAAACACAGACAACAGTCCTGAAGGCAGCCCCATTATGACAACAAGGTCAAAGCTGCCAATGCAAGGCAGCGTTTGTAGAGTTGAACCTTAAACCATGATAAACCATGTCAAATCAGGTGCAGTTGTGGCTTAGTGGTTAAGAAAGCAGACTTGGGTCCGAAAGGTTTCAGGTTTTGACTCTACCAGCTGCCGAGTCACCACTGAGGTCCTCAGAGCATGCTACTGTCCCTACACTGCTCCCCGGGCGCTTAAAGCTGCCCACTGTTCACTTTAGTGATAGGTTAAAAACAGAGGTCACATTTGGTTGTGTGCAGTAGTGTTCACTTTCCTTCCTCACTTTCCTCCTTCAAATGTATATTTTGTCCTTTGAGGCTTTTGTTGTTCTATTGTTTGTTCATGATACTGAAGTATTCAGCTGTGTACAGTAGAATGTTAAATAAGAAGCTACAGTAAAATGATAAGTTCAAGTAGAAAAACAAAAAAAGAAAACCAAATCTGTCCATGGATTCACACAAAACCTTGGTTACATGGTTCATACAAATGTCTCCAAAAAGGTTTTGAAAATCTGCAGTATTTTTTGTGCTTTATAATCCTGGAAACAAACACAGCAGTAAGTGGAAACATCTTTACTTTTCAGAGATGATAATGCAGAGATCATAGAGCAGTAATAGCCGTAAACAGCTACAATTCAGTGCAGATCCACACTGGAATCTGGATTTGTCCGGAGGCTCGTAAGATGTTCTTAAACTATTTAGTGCTGGACAACCTTGTCCAGGAAGTTTCGTGTTATTTATTTATTTTTAATCTTAGTCGGAAACCTATTTTGTTTTGTTTTTCTCTAGTTGACATTTGAAAAGCGAGAAATCTGGACTGTTTACATCGATGTAATGTATTCCTCTCAGATGTTTTATTTTAGCCCTAATCAAGGCTTAATATGCTTTTACAGAACCAGCTTTCAAAAAGGAATGCTTTTACCAAATAACATATTCTTTGTTTTAGCTGGTTCTGGTAAAACCTTTCCTTTGAAAGTTTAAATTCTAAACTGAATGGAAGTTAATAAAATACAGTTGTGTTTAAAGTTAGATATCAGGACGATTGTGTTTTGCTAAATTTTAGCTGACTTGATTTAGCTATCATATCTGTTTCATTTTGGTCTTGCCTTTTAGCTTTGTACTTTGTACTTTTACTCGCTTTGATAATAATTGTTTTCTGTGAGTTTTACTCATACTTGTTTTAGCTAACGTTTAGCTTCTGCCAAGTGTCCTTGTAATAGTTTTGACTAACATTTTGTGGCTATTCTCATGACCATACTTAGCTCGAAGCTAACCTACATATATCCCTGTTTTAATTTTGATTAGCTACGGCTATTTTCTCAATGTTTGGTCTAAATTCTCTAAACTCTGGGCAGGTTATTTTGCTATATTTTGGGCTAACATTTAGCTATTTCTGAACTGATTTTTATACACAATTATGCTTCTTTATTTTCTACAAAATTCTTATCATCTTTTTTGAAAACTCAGAAACAACTCTATGTGAACTAATGCTGAAAAAAACTGCTGTTGTATGAAGTCAGTGGTGGCTTAGTGCTCTGAGCATGACACCGTCCCCACACACTGCTCCCTGGGTGCTTAAAGCTGCCCACTGTTCACTTTGGTGATGGGTTAGAAGCAGAGGTCACATTTGGTTGTGTGCAGTGGTGAGCTGTGTCACAATGACGAGTAGTTCACTCTCCTTATCTCTTTTTTTTCACATGAGAGACTTTTGCATGTGTTCTACTTTATCATATCTGACCCTCCCCAAAGTCGGTTTGTGTGTCTGTGTTTGTGTGTTCGCCAGTTGATTCACTTAGAATCAGGAAGTGTCTACTGACGGTTCCAGCTCAGTGTGTTTATCTGAGGATTTATCTGAATGGCAACCAGCTGTTGGCTGAAGCATGGACCATTTATAGAGTAGCGTCCAATGAGTGCTCGTAAATGATAATCGCTGTCAGATGTTGGGTTAAAGGTTGTGCTGTGGGGACGCAGCTGGGCTGAGAGGTGTGTGGAGGACGGGCCTCCAACACCATCAGGCGAGCAGAGCAACAGAGGTGTTGGAAACACACCTGTCTCTATTTTCACTATCAGTCTCCTTCGGTAGAAATTAACTCATAATAACTTGTGCAGCTGCAAAATGAGGTCCGTTACCATGGCTACAGACAGGAAGTAGTGCTTAAGCGGTTTCCTGACGGCTTCCTCTTTATCGTGAAATGACATCTCACGAGGAAACATCAGCGCAGAAGCGTTGAGGGCTGACCATCTTTCTGTGTTTGTGGCTCTGTGTCCTAGAATGAGCTCTCACCTGACTCCACCTTCCTAATGTTCACTTGTTTACACATCTGCCACCTTTAGATTGTGAGATAATAAAAGGAACCTCAATATTGACACTTATCCTTCATTAAAAGATCACACAACATTTTCCAACCTCCATCCTCACACACACACACACACTTACAGTCACCCACATAATAGCAGTGTGTTATCAGCCAATGACTAAGAGCGGAATAAGTGACCTCATAACCACTCAGGTCAGGGAAATTGCCTGAGGATTTGGAGCCTGAATTGCTTGAAGGATTTGGAGAGCTTTGGTGCTTTCTCTGCTTACAGTGTCTTTCCTTCCTCAGTGATGGAAGATAGAGGTCGGACCCCAATGGAGATGAACAGATGCCGGTTCAAGGGAGGCCAAGAGATTTAATTTGATCAGTGTGAAGCTAACACAGATTCAGTTTTTCCCCACGGCGTCACAGATTTGATAGTGCGCCGTTTACTGTTCTTTTCAGATAAGAAAACGTCAGGGGGCAAAAAAATTAACCCACTTTATTGTTCACACTTTACAAAATTTTATTAACAAAGTGATTAAAGGCTCAGTGTGTGGGCTTAACATGGTCCTATCAGCAGCAATTTTAAACATTATTTCTAATTATAACTCTGTCGTTATATTATGACCTCATGCCAGGGATTTGTGGTGTTTGTTGTTGTTGTTTTTTTTTTCAAACATAAAAATAGCTGCTGGCTTTTTGCAATAACTATGGTAAAGTTACAATTTATGAACATGTCAATGAAATACTGCTTAAAGACGAATTATTGCTTAATATTTTTTAATGGTTTAATGGTTATGGCTTAAAAAACATAAAACATTTAAATTAATAACCATAAAAGCAAACATGCTAGTTAGGAAAGCTATAGGGTTGCCACGGAATTGTCCGTTATTTGGCAATTAAACGTTACGCCTTGTATTTAACCAATATGATAAACGATTTGTTCTCTATTCTGATAAATGTACAGTGGACCCCCCAGATACGAGCTTCCCGAAATACGAGTATCCCCGCCCCTTTTAAAAATGTCCACTACACACGATACTTTACCACGTCCCCAAAAGCAAAAATGCTTGCAAAAGTACAGACATCATTGTGCAGAGGAAGACGAATATGTTAACAATGCAATTAGTTAAATGTTTTGGGGGTGTTTTCAGTGGTGGGCTGTCGGACACCTGACAGCAGGCGGGCAACACTACAGACACGTCAGAACATGGAAGAGTTCTCCACAACGCAATCAGCTCCTGAGAGTCAAACGGTGTGGGAGATACGGTATAGGGCATTACGTTATGATTTTAGAAATGATACTTCTTGTCTGCCCGTGCTCTTCACAGAGGATGTCAGTGCATGGCCACATTTTAGTAGACTATTGTGGTTTGATTGACTGTTTATTTTTTCAGAAGTCATCGTTGTGCACGCCACACAAACGGATTTGATTTAAGATTTAATTAACTGCACTTTATAAGAGAAGGCAGTCAGTAATAATGTTGACCTGCATAAGAATGTGTGTGGGGAATGTGTTTAGAAACAGAATATTCTTTGTACCTTTTTAGTGCTTAAAGTACAACTTCAGTCTCTTCTACAGTGAGTTTCGGAAAAAAAGTTTGCATTGTATTAAACTCTTAATCAAGAATGTTTGAAATGTACAGACAGGCATGTCCAAACTGTTCCTCAAAGGGCCGTGTGGCTGGCGGTTTTTGTTCCAACCAACCAAGAGCACATAGTTGGACCAATCAGCTGTCTGAAGACTGAGACCAGTTGATTGAACCTGTCAACTCAGGTGTGCTACTGCTTGGTTGGAACAAAAACCTGCAGCCACAGCGGCCCTTGGTGGAACAGTTTGGGCACTGATTTCTGTGCACGGGGACCAGGTCTAAGTTGTTTTGCATCAGAGTTCACTCTGGAAACTGAAAGACAAGGTGAGCAATATGTGGAGTCAAACTCAGGTTTTCTATTTAAAAATGGTAGTCATTTAAAAAATGCGAACTCCAAAACTTCAGTACTTCAGTACTCAGTAACATGACTGATTGATTGTTTGTGAATTTTTGTTTTTACAGATTTCAGATGTCATCCAATCATCCGAGATCAAGATCTTCAATACAGTAAGGAGTGTCATTTTTCTTTTATCCTGTATGGTTGGAATGCCGCTTTTCTGCTTTGCAAGGCTGCTGTGCTTTGCCGTGGTTCTGTGCTTTGTCTTGTTTCTGTGCTTAGTTGGGTTCTGTTGGCTGCCATGCCTGTTTTCCGTCCTGTATGTCCTAATGTTCTAAAGGATGTTCTACTCACTAATCCAGACCTGCCTACTTTCTACTAGGTGTCTTAAGATTTCTGCTAAATTATAATCCCTGTTATGGTCAGTTTGTGCAGAATTGGTTTATTATCAAGAGTTTGTAGTTATTCCATCAGTGGCATTTTGTCCTCATCAGGACTATACATGAGAAACTGTGATGATTCAGTTAATGAGAGCCTTGTAAGTTGTTTTAGTTGGGTTGGAGCTTTACCTTTAGTTACACTTTCATTTAAAATGTCAAAATAAACTACACATTGCACTGTCGTAATTTGGTAACTTAGGTTATTTCATTTAGCTTTTAGTTATTTTTGGCTTTTTAGATTTTTCTCTTGAACAGTCCAGAGTGTACCCTGTCCTTACACCCTGGACTGCTGGGATTGACTCTATCTTCACTGTGACTCTTAAATAGGGTAAAAGAAATTGTATTCAAACTCAATTATTATTCAAGTTTTAGGTGAGTTGGTGAATTTGACTGTGCATCTTGACGGTGATTTACGAAGCAGGTCTAGAGCTTCAAAATTGGTCAATACGTCTACAGTCCATCACAATCCTTTTTGAAATTTCAACAGTCAACCGTAGACTTGCATCCTTGTGCTCTGTAACTGGAAGTTGAAGCTGCCACAAAGACACTGGTGCTGAAATGGTATTAGGCTTGAGCTGCTTCTGTGAAACAAAAACTCTTTACTCAATACATGTTACAGATGTAACAGTAACATGTGTACTGACTGGGTATTAGAGCAAGGTAACATGATTGGACAGTGGAATTACCAGACGATCAGTGCATGTCGTTCTCAGTTTGACAGCTCTAATAAAAAACACCAGACCAACTTTTGTGCCTGTACATACAGTTTTTATATAAACAGAAACCATCATACAGTGAAACAACATGCAGTCAGTAACATGCCAAATTAAACAAGAATTGCTGAGAAAATGTGTGAAACTCTAAACAAATCTCTGCTAAAGAAAAGCCCAATTTAACTGAAAAAACCCTAAAACAACCCTATGATTATGACTACACTCAGTAAAACTAAATGAAGCCTCAGTCTTTATTTCTGTTATTGTAGAGTATCAGTTATCAGCCGTGCCACAAGGTGGAGTACTTTATTTTTTTGTACAAATGTTTTGCTGTTGCTTGGAATGATTAGTTCAGGTTTTTGAAAGTGGACACCAATGTAAGATGTCAAAAACACTGACATACTGTATACCCATTACCAAAGATTATACAGCTATAAAAGAATACCACTGTATTCGTACTTCCTAAATTGTTTTATCGTCCAATCCACTCCCACGCCAAAGACTTTCAAAATGAATTACTAAGTGAAATGATGATTTAGTGAATGATGAGAAACATTTCTTTCAATCAGCTAAAATATAGTCTCAAACTTCAAGTATTCTTTTTAGTCTTTTGCTTCTTGAATAAGTGAAAATGTGTATAGTGTAGTATTCACACGTTTCATATTTTAATTGATGTTTTTACGGTTTCAGGACGTGACCTCTTGGTAAATGATGTTTAAACAGGTCTGTGCCACGTTGTCAGTGATGGAAGGCCTCTCTGACTCAGACTAGTTTTCATTAATGGTTAATGAAACAGTACCTCATTAACAAGTACTTTGACATCATGTAATTTCTCAAAGTGGCTCATCTGATTTATTTTACAGGTGACAACAACAAAACCATCTGAATCTCTTGGCTTAAAACTGCTGCACCTATGCAGTAGAGTTCCGTTTCCTCTCTGCATCTATTTCTCTTTATACAGGATGTTGTACTTCCTTTTTCAGATATAAGGAAGGGATGATGAGCAACTTGTAAAGTGCTGACTTTCTGCACCTAACAAATGGTCTATGGATGTAAAGAACTGGATTTTTAAAATTATTAGTAGCATTTTTAATTCTTTGAATTTGAAACACTTCCATGTTGCAACATCAGAACATGGAATACATTATTCTTTAGTTCAAGTTGTGAAAATGTTGTTCAATTTAAACTCTTTGACATGCAATGACATAATGGACACAGGATATGTGTAACTGTGAATAATGTAAGCGGCCGCTTTGTGCAGCCCCTGATTATACTTTACACCTTCACCGTCACGTGTTATCACTATGAAAAAACTTTTTCTCACAGGATAGAGCAGGAGGAGCTGCGGATAGGCAAGTTGGTGGGCAGCTTGGCATACTGCTGCCTGAAGCTGTTTCTCTTGTTGTTGAGTAGAGGACCTGGGTTCTCCATGCCGTCAGCTGGTGACGAGGACTCTGGAAGAGCATTTCCCTGTGGCACTTCCAGCTTCGCTCCCTTGTTGTTCTTAGTCTTTTTGGCTTTCTCCTTTTCCTGAGGCTCAGTTGAATTTGCAGCAGGCTCATTGGCGGCCTCTGGTGGGGGCAGGGTGTCCAGGGGCATGTCACTGGGGCTTGGTTTTCCCTCAGCTTGCTCATCATTGCCGGTGATGTGGAGGTTTGAGGCCATGCGTTTGGCGTTGGTGCTTGTGGAACTGATGCAGTTAGAAAATAGTTAAATTTACAGTAGGATGTGTTGAGTACAGCGCTAAATATGACATGAGATCACACATTTTAAAATCATAACTGTGATCACAGAAACCTAATTTAGAATGGGTGCTATATCCTAAAATGTGGGTGCCAATGAAAGGGAGATCATTATCATTTGAACAATGGTTCCTAAAATGAGGGGCAGGACCCTGAGGGAGCTGTAGCTAAGCCAATAAATTTTGCAATACTTATTTTGTTCATTAAATGTGGTGTAAATTACAATGTTTCAAATTGAGTTCAGTCAAATTTTTAAACGATAGCTTTGAATGTTTCAATGTGGGTATTGGGAAGCTGGAAAATAGTCACATCTCCTAATGGGAGGTGGGTTGGAAGATATTAGCCATATACTTTAAAATGCAAAATATAGCAATAACATTGATATTCTTAACTCTTTGGCATTGCTTTGGTTTATGTCCCAAAAATGAGTGACTTTTACAAAACTAGCCAGAGAAACAGAAAAATAAAGTAGCACAAAAGTCAAACTATGCTAAACTATGCTATTCTGGCTTTAGTTCCAAACAAGCAAAAAGAAACAGAACAAAGTGAAAAAATTGACTGAATTTGGCAAAGGATACTTTCACTTATTGAGAATAAACTGTACAATAACAACTGTACAAGTTGAAGAAGTGGTAAACATATGATAGGGACCAGTGTTCAGTTTCAGATACTCCCAGGAAGCAGTTTCACAGAGAACTGAAAGTATTTTTGCACTGCAGAAGTCACACTTGTTTTTGTCTGTGTGATCTGTACTGTTGAAACCATCACTTGTTTACTGTATTAAAACACGTTTGTCTGCATGTAGTCACATTAAGAAAATGAGATTCCCATTGGACTTGGCTGAAGAGACTGGTTCACTGTGATTGGTAAAAGTGTTCTGAAAGAAAGACTAGACTGGATTTTATCCTATTGCACAATAAAGAGAAATAACGTCACAGTTTATTCCTCTTTTTGGTAATAACATAACTAAGATGTACAGTAGTACAACCAGTCTTCATTCCAGTTTTAGAGAAATCTGCAGCACTAGCACTAAAAAAGCACCTCAACATTTGTTCCACTCTGCAGTCTAGTGGCAAGGAACAAAGAGCACAGACCTGATTGAATCAACAGGGGGCAATGTGAGTCCACAGCTGCTCGTATTCTTTCGTCTACTCACTCATTAGAGCTCTTGTCCTCTGAATCCTTCTGCTCACTGCTGTAGCGCAGCTCTGCTGGGGTCTTGAACGACAGGTCTTTCTTTCCTTTTAGCCAGTAGGTCTTCATGTAGCCTTTGCCCTGTTTGATGTTTTGGAGGTGAAAAGGTTTTTTTTTTTTTTTAGTATGAAAAGCTCAATAATCAGACCAGGTAGATTCTCCTCTGACAAGAACACATTTCAAATTCCCTTTTGAATAAAGTGTTTGTGTGTTATTAGAAAATGAACCTGATGTCAGGTATGAAAGACATTCACCATCACACCGGGCAGACTCTGGGTAAATAATAAAGGGTTTCCTGCTGCTGCCTAAAATGGACAAAGTGCTTCCGTTTTAGCTTAGAAAGTGCTCTTGCTGTTTGATACTTGAGATCAAATACTGTTGTAAAATCCTACAAAAAACATTTTTTAAATTAATTATCAATGTTAAAAATGAAATAACATCAACAACAATAATAATTGTAATAAAACTATTTGCTCATAAAAGTAATGAAAAACCTCTACAAAATTTTCCAAAATAGTCATTTTTGTATTGTTTTATATTTAAACAAACACAATAAAACACAATAAAAGTGAAAGGCATTTTTTGTGCCCTATCAGAATTTAATTTCCACGCTTTCTGCTTCACCATGGGTCACTACAATGGTAGCTGAATGGCTGAATAATTATTTGGCAGAGCTCTTACACCAGATGTTGTTTCCGGATGGAACCCAACCTTCACCTTGGGACAAGGTGGAGTTGAACCTGGGGATCCTAACACTATGTCACCCCAGCTTACCATCATGTCTCAAAGTTAATAACTTACGATTTTTTCCTAAAACTGCGCACCACTGCAGTTGATTTCGGTGTATTTCATTATGAATTAAATTAATTGATTAGTTGTTTTACCATTAATGAAATTAGCAAACATTGCAATTACATCAATACAATAAAAGCATGAGCAAACCCACTAAATTTATTATGTGTATATATATATATATATATATCTGTGACTAAAGCTTAGATCTCACCTTGACAAAGATTTTTCCCCTCTCCTCGATGATGTAGGGCTCATGTTCCAGGTGGTCTTTGGTGGTCTGGCTGATGTGAATCTGCATGCCCTGCACAGAACAGAGACACACAACTACTGCTATAGCTCAGGATAGAACCACCAGCTTCATTTTCACTGACTTTTCATGGGGAGGTTTATAGCTTTCAGCTCAACAGACTCTAAAATTAGCTGTTTTTCTTCACAGACATTAACTGTTCAGTGATGGAGTTAAAAAAAAAAAAAAAAATATATATATATCTGCCTGTCACATTCAACATTTTCCGCTCATGACATTACTTTCTATTACTGTAAGTAATAGGAAACAAGTGAAGTGATTACTCCAATGCATTAACCTAAAAGCTTCATGCTCCGTGTTGTCATTAAACAGGAAATGGTTTTCTATAGTATAATGACTGCGGGAAACCATAGACGTGAGTGCAGTTATTTATAAAGCTGACAGGGAGTATTTGGCAGCAGATCATTTAGTATGTGAGTGTAGTCACCACTCCATTGCTCTCCATCCGTGAGGCTGTGTTCACTGTATCACCAAACAGACAGTAGCGAGGCATCTTCAGACCCACCACACCGGCCACCACCATTCCTGAGTGGATACCTGTGAGGAGGGAAATGGTTCACCCAAACTTTTCCATGCCAAGCCCCCATGAGGGACCCCCTTTGCAAGCCCACAGACAGTAGACCTGGCAGAAACGGATGCAAACTGCCAGGTCTACACAGGTTATAACGTCATCATATGAGCTGTGTTCAAGTACCAGTGGATATTTAAGAATCTGCTGATTACAGCAGTTTATGTGTTTTACAATTTGGGACAGATTCTTATTACACACAAAAAAATTGCATCTAAGGAGGCCCCCTAGCGCCCTCTTGTGGGTCCAGTTGTTTTCAAAAGCATTTTATTTAGATCTATACAGTGACCCCTTGTGATAGAGGTGGTAGAATGTAATAAGGTTCTTGGGTCTTTTGGTTTGGTTTCAGGAAAATCTTCAGCATCAAGAGCTAAATCACTCGTTGAATGGACGAACATCAGCCCCTCACCGACTCTGATCTGGATGTTGTCTCCTGTAGACGGGTCTTTGAGATGGTCGATGGAGCTCAGCATGTCCAGAGCCATGTCGCAGATGTGGTGTGCATGGAAGGTGGTCTTATTGGGAACGCCTGCCACCACCATGTAGGCATCTCGGATCGTCTCCACCTAAACAGTGGGCAGTGTGTGACTGATGTAAATGGAGAGTTCTAGTGAGTGTGGCAGCACAGTGTAATAGCAGTTTGGGGAACCACATATTGGATGAAGATGTTGGTGACAGAGCTCATAGAGCGATTGATGATTAAAAAGGCCAGAGGAGAGAAGGGGGCAGAAGATAGAGATGAATGTCGCTTTGTTGAGCTCCTCACCTTGTAGACGTTGTGCTTCTCGCTAAGCGTGTCAAAGACGATGTAGATCTCATTCAGCATGTCCACCACCTGCATGGGTGTGATGTGGATGCAGATCTCATTAAACTTGACCACATCGCTGAACAGGATGGTCACGTCTGGGAAGACCTGGAAGACAAAGGCAGCGGCACTTACTATTGGCATATTCTTTGTGACTTACATTATGTTTTTTTTTTCTGTCTTTAATTTATATTAATTTAGTGGCAGGGGCTATGTATTTTTAGCTTTTGTGTATGTTTCAAGCTAACATGTAGCTACTTTTGGTTATAATTGGCGACCTAAAAGCTGTTTGTCTAAATGTTTAAGATTCTCTAAATTGATTTTACTTTTTGGAACAATTCAGGTCAAATGGAAATTTGTTTTAGCCATGTTTTTGTCTTAGTGCTACATTTTGGCCAATTATTGCAGATTTAATGTGTTACGTCATGTGTTGTCGTAGGATGTACGTGGGGACATTGGTGACGCGCCGTCTACTGTGGGAAGCCTTTTTTATAGTGTCTTGACTGTGGTTTGGTTTGACCACACACACACACACACACACACCCACAGCTGTGTCACCTATAGTACATTGCCTTCCAGTTCAATGCATATTGATTGAAACTGGACCTAAAAAAAAAATCGTTTGATAGTACTCGGTAGCTGCGAGGTGCCCCAGTGAAAATACTTATGAAAGTACTCAGTACTAGGAATACGGTAATGATGTGCATACAAAAGTTGTTTTAAAATTATATATATATA